AGCTATTAGGAACAAGTGCATCGCTTCTAGTAACAAGTGCCTTACTAGTAGTAACAAGAAGCTATTAGGAACAAGTGCATCGCTTCTAGTAACAAGTGCCTTACTAGTAGTAACAAGAAGTTACTAGGAACAAGTGCATCGCTTCTAGTAACAAGTGCCTTACTAGTAGTAACAAGAAGCTGTTAGTTTATTTTAAGAGCTTCTTGTTACTACCAGTAAGGCACCTGTTACTACTAGCGTGGCACCTGTTACTACTAGGGAACGGAACGCACGGTCTGGAGGGAACGGACGGATGGAACGGCTACAGCGATGCCCGGGTGCGGCGATGTCGCTGCGCACGAGGCGACCGGCACTCTTCGACACGATGTGGCGGGTGCAGAACTTGGAGGCGGGGTGTTTGACGTTCCCAGAGGTAGATGACTAAAGGAGCTCATCCAATCTAAAAGCAATGGCCTCCAACCTAATAGCTGTTTGGAGACGTTCCTGGCTTCCTGACGACATGGAGGTTGCCCTGTTTTCCAAGAGCTGAAAGGCTTTTCTGACCTGCTCAACACTCTAAGGGGCCTCGCAACACAAGTGCTCTGACCGTCATCCGAGGTGACCATTGGCCACTGGGCTTTAGCAGAGCTGGAGTTTTACGAAGATGTGCTTTGCACCTTCCAGTTGCAACTCAGAGAATCGGTGTCGAGCCGACCGGCAGGGCCATCGGGAAAAACGGTGGTCTCCCACTCGTCAGGAAGGGGCGACAGCCTCCAAGCGAAAACCCTTCCAACCGATGCCTCTTTTCGGGGCCGTGAAGAAAGAAAGTACTTTAGAGATCTTTAAAGGATGTGACCACAGATCAGCACAAGATGTTCTCCCGAGAAAAAGAAGACCAAGCGGACCAAGAAGACTTGGACCCCTCAACCTTCTTCAATTTCCAAAAGCAGCGGCCTCTTTCATGTCCGAAAGGAAGGGCAATCCCTTCGCCATCGGCAGCGACTTCCCGCTGGTGGATGGTGACATCTATGCCTTCGACGGGGACGTGCGGACGACCTGGACCGCGCTGTGTCCGGACATCCCGAACTCCAAAGCACATGAGATCTGGGGAGACTTGGTCGCAGCGGGACGACTCGGTTTTTGCAGCCACAGGGTTTTCTGGCTCTGGCTGTGTTCCGAGGCGAAGTAACAAACTTTGATGTTTTGGGGATTTGCCAAAGATGAAGGCATCAGAAGCTGATGGTGTTGATCTTAGAGTCTCCAGAGCAGGGCAGGGCGTAAATTTTTCCTGGTGTGGGTTCCAAAAGGTTCCAATGCCGTTTCTTCCGATGTTACTCGTGTTATCTCTTCCTTTTTGCTGTAGGGTCTTCAGTGCAAGGCAAAGGGCAATTTTCATGGGCTGGGTGCGTTCCAATGCAGTGGCCGCTGGCCGATCAAATTGTGGAGATGTCTGCTCGCTTTTTGTTGCCTCGGTAGATAGACCTGACCAACGGACTTCACCCCTGTTTGGCTGCTCAGCTGGTGATCCCAACAAAACAGCCAGACATGACGTGTAAAACAAGCGATGAACATCTATAGTAGCAAGGACACTACTAGGTGGAGGCCATCCCTACTAGGGTGCAGGCCATTCCTACCAGTAACAAGAAGCTACTAGGAGCAAACGACGCTATTGGTAGCTCCTGGCATCGCTACTAGTAACAAGAAGCTACTAGGAACAAGTGCCACGCTAGTAGTAACAGGTGCCTTACTAGTAGTAACAAGAAGCTACTAGGGGCTCCTGGCCTTACTACTAGTAACAAGAAGCTATTAGGAACAAGTGCATCGCTTCTAGTAACAAGTGCCTTACTAGTAGTAACAAGAAGCTACGAACAGAATACCGCAGAGATACCCTCCAAGCGGCTCCAAGCGGTCACGCCTTCGGTTCGAAGGCGGTGGAAAGGCGATTCCATGGCGCTCAGGTGACGGAGTGCGATTCCATGGCTGTGAGCCTGAACAGGCTTTCATCGGCTTGGAATTCCAGGACTATCTGTGAGATGATCGATCGTCGAGATCGTCGAGAGAGACGTGTGTGTGGGTCTTGGGAGCTGTTCAGACTTTCTACTAGTAACAAGAGCATCGCTACTAGGAGCAAGGACGCTACTAGGGGCTCCTGGCATTACTACTAGGTTACTAGGAGCAAGAAGCTACTAGTAGCGATAGCGATGCACTTGCTCCTAGTAGTGATGCCCTTTGTTCCTAGTGCCAGGAGCCCCTAGTAGCTTCCTTGCCCCTACCAGCGATGCCCTTTGTTCCTAGTAGCTTCTTGTTACTAGTAGTAAGGCCAGGAGCCCCTAGTAGCTTCCTTGCCCCTAGCAGCGATGCCCTTTGCTCCTAGTAGCTTCTTTTTCCTAGTAGTAAGGCCAGGAGCCCCTAGTAGCTTCTTGTTACTACTAGTAAGGCACTTGTTACTACTAGCGTGGCACTTGTTCCTAGTAGCGATGCCAGGAGCCTTCGGTGGTGCAGTGCATCCGTTTCTTCCAGAAGTCGCCCCGCGACATCTCTGACCGCGAGCAGCGCCGCTCCTGGTCTGCGGGCATCGCGCTGCAGCGCTGGTCAGGCGTGAAGGGAGGGGAGGGAGGGGAGCGTGGCTGGGATGGGAGGGTCAAGTGAATCAGGTGTCGAAAAGCTGTTTTCAAACAGATTGAGCTACTAGTAGCGTCCTTTGCTCCTAATAGCGATGCCAGGAGCCCCTAATGATGGCTTCTTGTTACTACTAGTAAGGCACCTGTTGCTAATAGCGATGCACTTGTTCCTGGTAGCGTCCGATCGCTCCTAGAGCCATTCAAGCTCTCCTGGGGTCGAAGTTCCGTTTGCCGTCCCGGCTTGAGGCGGCAAAGGATGTTCATGGGCGATCAGTGTCACAGCTCAGTCCCACAGTTGTGGCCCAACATGTCACCAACTCTTATTTCGCGAAACCCCAAGCAAAAAAACGGTCCATCTCCTCTCCTGCTGCGTCTTTTGCACCTGGCGTGTCGCAGAAGAATTCTGCCACTCACCCGCGGCACCGGGTGCGGTCAGGCGAGGAGTGGTTCACCACGGAGCGTTTCTGGGATCCGAACCACGCCTACGACCCGGTGCTCTCGCCCACCTTGGCCACGCCCTTCGTGGGCGGCGCGCCGGGCACCTGGGAGGATCTGAGGCCCCCGAGCCGCAGCGCCTGGCGACTGAGCAACGACATCTATTTGCGGGGACGCTTGGTGAAGAAGCATAGGAACAAAGGGCATCGCTACTAGGGGCTCCTGGCCGTACTACTAGGAGCAATGTTCGCTACTAGTAACAAGCGACTAGTAGCTATATCATGCAGATGAAGAGATGATTTCTGGAAGAGGGAGAACTGCTGTGAGATGTTTTGAGACTCTCCCGAGTCCTTCTCATGGATTTGTTGGTTTGCTAGCTAGCTTGTCTTTTGTTGGGGGGGTTCTTTCCGTTTTGCTGACGTGGCTGATTTTTGGCAGTGTGAGAATTGATGAGAAGAAGTCCGATATGTTGTGTTGGTATGCTTTGCTGTGAAATTGCTAATTTCTGTGGGTGCCATCAGTCATCAGATGTGACAGTAGATACTCAATAGTTAGTGTTACTGATATGATGGCTTGGCTCCTCAAATTTCCAGGAAAAATGAGAAGAACCGCAAGTGGATTGGCCTGAAAGCTTAGGAGTGAAAGAAGTTGGTGAAACACCCTTCTGCTTGGGAACATTCAACATGTACTGAAAACCAATCTGCAACCCCCGTCTCCGCATTTTGGTCTTCCCCAGTACATGGGGAACGGATTTGCTTTGTATGATTTACGCCTCAATGATGAAGGAGAGAGGGGACTTGCCACAAAAGTGCTTGGCTCTTAGTCTGGGCAAGAATTGTTGGCTTCTTGTTACTACTAGTAAGGCACCTGTTACTACTAGCGTGGCACTTGTTACTAGTAGCTTGAAAACACGGCTGTTTTCATATGTTTTCTCTATCTCCCGGACGAGTCTCTTCGTTTGGGCCGGGCCGTGAGGCCAGTGGATGGTTCACGAACTGGAGCCTCGGCGAAGCCAAAGGGGGTGGAGATTCTCCTATGGGCAGCAGTGAGCAGTTGTCCGTTGGTCAGGCGCATGCTGATTTCTTTTGGTCAGTTCAATCCTGTGAGTGTTTTCTGTGTTCTGTGTGTGTGTGTGTATCAGCGGCGATGGCTTCGGAGCTTCCCGATGAAGAAGGCAACGAGCAGATCGCCGTTCGCCAGCGACATGAGCTGGTCCCATGGATTTGGCGGTTGTAGGTGTCACGGTTTCGCCGGCAGCTGCAACAACGGTGAGTAGCATGTTGAAGCGTTTATAACCTTGTGGGAACCCTGGCAATGCGAGCCAAGCTGCATGCCCCCCAAATAAACCAAACACTGCCCGAAACTGACGGTGTTTTCTTGGGTCCTAAGGCGGTGGACGACCGTTCAGACGGGTTGATCCGGAGCGGAGCGGAACTCGCCGTTCGGCACCCGAGGAGTTCTACACCTCACCCTTCTGCGAGGACCCGGAGAGCCGGGTGCGGGGCACGCCGATTCCCATGCAGGGCCCCAGGAACCAGGAGGTCCGCTATGCCTTCGACCAGGACCTGCGTCAGGATGTAGGCGCCGGAGCCGCGGCGCGGCGCTTTGCGCTGTGTTTGCGCGCCGACCGAGGGGGGCGAAGACGGAAGCTGCGCCGGGGGAACGAGCAGAGAAGCTTCTTGGACACATGACACGGAGGAGGGATCGAGACCTGAGACCAATGGCCAAAGAAAAACCGACCCAAAATCCCACAAAGCAACCTGTTTGCACACCTGACCTGTTTGAGCAAAGGAGTTGTGCGAAGAAAACCTCTCTCTCAGCATGAAGCAAGCCGGGAAACTGGCCACTAGGCCTAGCAGCACATTTCGATGGGTGGTTGATTCGCACACGTGAACTCCGCCATGGATCGAATCTAGATTCAGAAAGCGTGGCCGCCAAGGTGTTTTGTATCCAGTGGCGTTGCAGGCACCGTGTCACTGTCCAAAGTTCTCCTTCATCTCTACCCATTTATGAACACATTCTGAACTTTGTGGTTTCAGATGGCACAATCCTCAAACAGGTGGTTTATAATAGACCCCCATATTTAAAAGACATCTTTAGATGCCAGTGCCATCTATTCTGAAAACACTCTGCAAATGTTCTGAATGAATATAGTTCTTGCACTTCGGAACTTTCAAAAGTTGGGTGAACCGGTCGTGGACACCACGCGGGGAGAATTGACTCATGTTGACTCCCCAGATCGATCGATGGCAGGCTGGACCTCCAGCTGTACCAGCAGTCGAATGGAGGGCATCACGTGCGTGCCAGCGGAGGCCTGGCTGGGCATCTACACCCGCGGCCAGCAGCCCAACATCACCTGCTTCAGGATCTTACAGACACTCGACATGGTATTTGCGACATGCGCCTGGAAAATGATGGGTGAAATGTCTTAAGGCTGAAAGTTTCAGTGGGATTGGACGGTGTGCAAAAGCACTCTCTTTGCTGCTCAAGTCACTTAGTAACTTGGGTCTTTCATGGTCTTTCTGATGAATTCCGGTGGTTAAAAAGAGCAAGTGCAAGAAAGCATCGTTCATCCTGAGGGGGGGTTCATCAGCAGCTCGTTTGCTCCGATGATCCAGAGCCCTCGATCAGTTTTGGGGGAAGAAAATCGTCGATCAGTTTAGGAGCTACTTGGAAGGGCCTCGTCATTCTTCAGCGCGCAGCTGGGGTTGTTGCCAGATGTGATCCTTCTTGCATCCTTTTGCATCCCAAATCCATCTTCACTGTTTTCCAGGCATCTCCATCCTTTCTTGAGAGGCTTCTCACGCCTTCTGAGGCGTCGTAAGTCCTCGGTCGTTCACCGAGGTCCAAAGAGTTGAATACGCAGTCGACGTTCGTCTCCATGGGTGTCCTGGAAGAGTTGGAACCGTCGTTCGAAGACGGTGACCGGTCCGAGGTGTTTTGGTTTTCGAATCTCACCACGACTGTGACAGGTGACAGGTCTGGTGTAGTTTGCAAAGAGTGCCAGGAGCCCCCTAGTAGCGTCCTTAGCACGAAAGAAGATCACGTCTTTTTGATCTCTTTGATCTCTTTCGCCACCTAATTTGCAGCCCGTAGGTAGATGTACTGTGGTTTTGGACTCTGGCACCAGAGACGAGCACGACGGGATCAACCCAACTCTAGGGTGAGAGCGGTTCATGTGACCTTCACAATGACCGAGGTTTGATCCACGTGTAATCCATTTTGCTCGGAATACTTTTACTTAACTTTCGATGCTTTGCTTGGAAGTTCTGATGCATCCATAGCGTGTGGAAGCCTACTGGCAATGACCTCCACCCTACTAGCGATGGCCTCCAACCTACTAGCGATGGCATTATAAACAAGCAGCCCGAAAAAAAGAAAGAAAGCACATTGAATGGCCTTGTGAGTCCGGCGGCCGCTGAGAAAATGCGCATGGACGCGTCCAAGAGTTGCATGGGTCCTTCTAGTGAGCCCATGTCCGATTCTTGATCAATTGTGTTTGCGTAAAGTTACTAGTAACAAGTGCCTTACTAGTAGTAACAAGGACGCTATTAGAAACAAGTGCCTTACTAGTAGTAACAATAAGAAGCTTGAAGCAAATCCCCAGACACCAAAAGGCTCCTTTGAGTTCACAATAGCTAATGATACTGTTCGCATGTTTCAGCATCTGAGACATGGAATGGGTCCAAATCAAGCACCCAAAAAGGCGGCCCGAAGCCCACCCCACTAGACTACGATCTCCGTCCAATCCCAAGCACCAATGGTGATCCTTTCCTCGAACGGCTGGGCCTGCAAGTGGCTCCTCAACCTTTCCCACCCATGTATATGGTACAAAAAGGGTAGTGTGGGATGGATCGCTGCCTTTCGGCAAACAGCATCCCTTCCGCCAAGCCGTTTTCATAGTTGAAACGTGGGCAACAGACGGATGAAAAATCTTTGAACTGTCCATTGCCTCGACTTGTGTGTTGTCCTTTCTCTTGAAGCCGTTCGCAAGGCGTGTACATTAATGGCCGGTGGCAGTACGACAGCTTCCACCGTGAGATTGGGGGTGGTACCTGGAACCGCCGCCCGGCGCCACCCTGGACACTTTGGCGCATCCGGAACAACGAAAACATCACAGCACAGTGGAAAATGGCCGAGGCCACGTGTGGACGGGACTTCTCGGTGGGTGGTGTGCCGGAAATAGGGGTTGATTCCAGGAACAAAGGGCATCGCTACTAGGAGCAAGGGCCTTACTTCTAGTAACAAGACGCTACTAGGAGCAAATGTCGTTAGAATCTAATTAAAGTTACAAGCAAAGAAATATAGTAGGATCTTTTCGCGCGCGGGGGGGGGGGTAGGAGCAAGGACGCTACTAGGGGCTCCTGGCCTTACTACTAGGAACAAGAGGACGCTACTAGTATCTCAGGGCATCGCTGCTAGTAGCAAGGACGCTTAGTAGCGGATATTCGTTGCTGTATCCGTGGAGGCCTAGAGCGATTTGCTCAATCGTTTTTTGGGGAGCACTTTCTTCAGATTGGAAGGGCGAGAACCTTGCAGTTTTTGGCCTTTTGTCGTTGCTTCCCTAATTTTCAATGGAAAGCTGCCTTGAAGCTCCAGTGCCTTCATGAGAACTGGCCCAAAGCTTTGCTGCTTTTGCTCCCCCCAATTTCATCTCCGAGATCTACTAGCGATGGCCTTCAACCGAAGAGCGACCGCTCTGCTCGGCAGGTTCGGGCCTATCAGGATCCGCTCTGCTTGGTGTCCATGACACCGGGCAACCCCATCGCCAGTGGATACTTCCAGGGCGACGAGCCGGCACAGGCCCTGGACGACGATGCCACCACCATGTGGACGGCCAATTGTCGCTCGGTCCAACGGCTTCCGGTGAGGCCCCGGTGTCACGTGTGGCGTGTCGAAGGTTTCTCTGTGCGAGGAGACGGATGTGTCCTACATCGATGAAAAAGGTGTCCTGCGTTCTTTTGCCATGTTTCAATGTGGTTGTTTTTTCATATTCTTCGTGTGACGTGTGTTTTCCTTTTGGGGGTCCACCGCAGAGTTTCAAAGCCCAACCAGCAAAGCCTCCTGGGAGGCCCTTGGAACTCTTAAAAATGCACCACCAGAAAACGCCCCTCCATTGGCCTTCCTGAAATGAACATGAGAGGGCACAAGCCTGTCTTGTTCCCATCCAGCCTTGGGAGATTCCCAGAGCAAGGACGCTACTAGGAGCAAAGGGCATCGCTACTAGGAGGAAGGACGCTACTAGGGGTTCCTGGCATCGCTACTAGGAGCAAGGACGCTACTAGGGGCTGGCCTTACTACCAGGAGCTGTGTTTGTTCCATCGAGTGCCGTTGTCGAACAAAGCCATGGCCCGAGGCCGGAATGGCCTCAGCTGCAATGAGAGTCGGAAGTACTGGTTCGGCATGGAGCTGCCCTGGAATGCACCAGATGCCCAAGCAAAAGAGCTCCTGGTACGTTGCTTCAGGCCGGGCTGTTCATTGGTTTTCCATGTTCTCATCATTCTCATCTCATCTTCAAAAGAAATTCGGCTTTGTGGTGTTCATTGGGAACAAGCACGCTACTAGTAACAAAGGGCATCGCCACTAGGAGCAAGGACGCTACTAGGGGCTCCTGGCATCGCTACTAGGAGCATTCTTACTACTAGGAACAAGAAGCTATTAGAAACAATAAGTTCTTCGTTTCGTTTCGGAAGGATTTGGCAGTCCGAGAAGAACAACGAGCAGATGGTGAGCACCCAGGTGCAGCTCTGGAACGGCCACATGGCTCAGGGGGTGCCCGCAGGGCCGGTGGCGAAGCGCGAGTCGAAGTTTGTTCAGAGCTCTAACCTTTTCAGCTAAAAGAGTTCTAAATAAGAATGCTACTAGGAGCGATCGGACGCTACTAGGGGCTCCTGGCATCGCTACTAGGAACAAGAAGCTACTAGGGGCTCCTGGCCGTACTACTAGGAGCAATGTTCGCTACTAGGAACAAAGGGCATCTACGAACGGAGCGATCGGACGCTACCAGATTGGAGGCCATTGCTTCTATCAACAAAATTCCTTCAGCAATTGATTGCGCTCCAGGCGAGATCTACGTCCTGTCGCCCATCACAAACACGGGATTCTTGGCACCCGTGGCTGGTGGCCGGGAGCGGTGTCATCCTTGTTACTAGTAGCGAACATTGCTCCTAGTAGTAAGGCCAGGAGCCCCTAGTTGCTTCTTGTTACTAGTAGCAAATTTGGGTTGTTCCTTAGACCTTTAAGACCATTTCTTCCTTTCTTCATTTCTGTATGTGTTTCTTTCTTTAGACGTGCCTTTACTATTTCTGTTGAATGTTGCATGGTTTACTCGTTGATACAGGTATGCACCCGTTTATTACTCTTGGATAAATGACACAAGGTCATCATTTTGGACTGATGGCTATGGGAAGTGTGCCCAATACCCAAGCTGGTGGAGAGGGGGGGAAGTTGGAAGGGCTCCTTGTTTGCTTGTGAATGATGGGTTGACTTGTATGCCTTTGCTCCTTTCATATTCTTTACATACGGCTGCTAGGCTGTTTTGCCTTTCTCGCTATCTGTGACCAGTGCCGCTCGCACTGGCTGCTAGGCTGCTCATGGTAAGGGTGAGACAAGTTGGACCGTTCACCCTCATCTCGAGACACGATCACTTACAATGATGCCCTTATTCCAAGTAGCTTCTTGTTACTAATAGCTACTTGCTCCTAGTAGTACGGCCAGGAGCCCCTAGTAGCGATGCCCTTTGCTCCTAGTAGCGATGCACTTGCAATGATCTTCTCTTCCAGATATTCGACAGCTCTTACTGTCATGAACTTTGCTGAATCGATGGGGGCGACCCGCATGCATATGCAGCCACTTGGTCACGTGTCCGCCACGCACTGTAAAAGCCACTGCTTTTGCATGTGCCTCAATCAAAGGTAACAGGTTAATTGATATGCTGAGATCATTTGCACAGCTGCTCCTATTATCGTGTTTCCTTTACAAAGGCCAAAGTTTGTTCCACAACGTTGCTTTCAGATTGCTGATGCCAATCATACTGTTGGCACATTTAACTACAAGGCTTGGTGTATTATTCAGTGCTTCATGTTGATTCCTTAGCTACGAGTAGCAATGCCCTTGTTCCCAGTATGATTCCTTCCTGCCGCACCCCTCCGAGGCTCCCTGCACGAGATCGGCGGCGGTGTTTGGTCGCGGCCGGCGTCGAGCTTCATGACCCGATGGCGGCTGATGCCCATAGCTGAGGAGGACCGGGAGCGAGTGCACAAACTCCAAAAAGCACAGCCCCAAGGCATGGGATTTTCTGTGCACACCCCCCTACAGATGTTCTCCCCTCCTTTCTTTCTCTCAGTAAGCGTTTCATCCCCTCACCCGCCTGTTTTGGTTCTCGAGTCCGAGGATCGGGACTGGCGCGTCTTGGAGTTGGAGTTCTACGCCGATTCCAAGTGCCGGCAGCGCTTGCCGAGCGGCGGCACCGAGGGCGGCGGAGAGAGCGTCCTGGCGTCCAGCTTTACGCCCTTGGTCGTAGGCGCGGCCGGAGTGAAAGGTGGAGAGGGCCCAGGGGCTGTGACTGTGTGGAAAAGCCACACCAAGAGCATGAGTTTCTGATGGGTGAATCTGGGCTCTTTCTGGGACTTTTTAGCCAATTCCTGTCAAAAAGCAGATGGAAGAGGAGTGAGTCACCGGAACATATTGTGTCACCAGCGAGTCACCGGACATCTGCATTCCCAGAGGGACATGTTCATCTCTGAAAAGCGGAAGGAAAACACAAATGTTTGCTGGTTCAACTGATCTTGGTGCCAGGCTTCCGGCGAGCTGAGAAAGGAAAGATGTGGTCTGAAGCACAGCATATCAGCGATTTGGATCCGACCACCGGTGTGCTAGTGAGATGCTTGGCAGGTAGACAACCCCGGTTTCACTGGGCAGCGGGGGGAAGATCAACGGTAGCAGGCTTAGACAATAAGACAAGGATAGTAGCGTGTTTGCTCCTATAGTAGTAAGGCCAGGAGCCCCTAGTAGCTTCTTGCTCCTAGTAGTAAGGCCACCAGCCCCTAGTAGCGTCCTTGCTCCTAGTAGTAAGGCCAGGAGCCCCTAGTAGCGTCCTCGCTCCTAGTAGTAAG